AAGATAGTGACTTTATTAAAACTAATTTCTAAGACACGTTCACTATTATTGAAAATAGCTTGGATCTTCTTCATTAGACGTGGTAAGAAAAGATATTGCTGAACATATACTGGATCAAAAAGACCTTTCATTGCCAAAAGAGATTAGGATATCATGTTAGCTCATCTTTTAAGAGAAATTCTGCTTTATTGGTTTGTCTTACTATGTTTTTGTTAATATTGTTAAATTATAGATGAAATCATGGAGGAAAATTAATGTTTTTATAAACAAGATACCATTCTGTAGTTTTTTGGTACTTTATAATTGACGATTTTAGGTCATATCCAGTATGAATGCTTTTCCATATTCTCAAAACAATGTTGAAGATAATCATACTTTCCTTCTAACGGGGACTAGGTTCCCACACTCATGCTGCAGTTATAATTTGTTTATGTTCCAAATATAGTTTAGAAATAGTTATACACAGAACTGAGAAGTAGATACTAGCAGAGGTAATTAACATATGTTCTTTTAATATGCTCATTAAAAAAACCATTCTATTAGAATTATTCTGTTAAGTAAATAATCTTTTTTGCTAATAATTACATTCTACTTTTCTTGCATGTAGCTGCCACTTAAGCCAGAAATTGTTCTATTGCTGATTATTGTAACTGTATTATTTCAAGTTACAAATTAACACTTTCAGATGGAAGAGTAATGTTTTTAAAGTGTCATGTGATAGGAATAGCTCAAGATCTACTCTATCCTAAGAATTCCTATGGTGTCCGTTACTCTATTAAACCTAAATGTGTTGAAAGCCTTCTATATGTTAGGTAATGTGCTAGGCAATATTAATTCTTGAAAATTTGGATAAAGGCCAAAAAATGTACATAGAAGGTAATTGTAAAGATCAGTAAAAATCATACTTTTTTGTATCTCCATAAAGGTTCACCTAAGGACCATGAACGTAATGGATGCAAATTATGTAAAAGTGATAGATATTGTGAACCGCATGATTATGAATACTGCTGTCCTTGTGAGTGGCACCGTGCGGAACATGATAGGCAGCTAAATGGAGTAGAGAACAATATTAAGAGGTAAGTTTTTTTTTTAAGACTCATTTTTTTCTGGCACAACCAGTATATACACTTGTGGTTGAATTATTTCCACATAATCTTTCCCCACATGTCTAGATTAGTCCCATGTTTCACAAAATCCTTTTCTTGATTCTATTGAAGAATTCAACTATCGCAGGAGATAGTAATGTAATAGTTATTCAAAGAGAAGCTTGATGACTGAGGTACTATACATGGACATTTCTTATTAAAATGGAAGTAGATGATTTCAAAGTCTATCCAAAATTGCCTGATTATAGTAATAACATATATATAATTTATTTTCAGGAAAGCTTGCAATTGTGAGGGATTCCCATTCCATGAGGTAATAACCAGTAATTCAACTGCGTGTTTATTTTAGAAACTTTCTAAGAAGTCTTAAAGTCTCAATTCCTATTTTCTTTTTTCTTGCTAGGTTATTCAAGAATTCCTTTTGAACAAGGATAAGTTGGTGAAGGCAATCAGGTACCAAAGACCTGATTTACTATTGTTTCAGGTATCTGAAAATAAATGCTTGCTTTACAGTATGAAGTTAGACACTAGAAAGGTAGGAAGAGATATTCACTTTAATTGATCTGAGAGGAGGTT